ATGAGTCGCAAGTGTGAGTCACAGTACTCTTTGGATGAAACACCCGTGATTCATCTCTTGACTCGCGACTCAGTTCGAGCGACATCAAACATAACCATACAAGACAATAGTCATACAATCACAAATGCAATACTCGTGCATTCTTGACTTGATTATGATTCTGGTTGTAGATGCGCGTCCCGTCACGAGTGTAGGAACAGGCTATCGCAGCTTTAGCTGACGTTCTGCTGGGCGCTTTGAGACACCTGTATAGCGAAGCATCACCAGCAGCGCTATCAGTCGTCCCATCGCGGCCGGACGTGCAATGCTGCGCGCGATCACAGCCTCTTTTGCGTGAGGATTGTGCGTGCGCAGTCGGTGCTTTCATTCGAGTTCGAGTTGCCTATCTAGCTATACCGCTCACTCGTTCGCATATGGCTGTGCACGAAAACGTCGACTTGCTCGGCCAGTGGAGTTGTTGCTTAATTCACGAGTGCTTGCTTTCATGCGATATCTCTGCTCGGCCGAAGAGTCACCCAGTTGCAATACTCACCACTCGTGCCTGCATCTCCACACGTCTGGTCGGCACTCACTTAGCTCCTGAGCGGCATGCGTGCATCTCCGCCAAGTGCGAGCCATGACGTCGCGGCTGTGATGGCAATGCATACTCAACCGATCCAGGGTCGCAAACCTTCGCCATAGCAAGCACAAATCATCACGTTCCACGCGTGCCTCCACCTCGGTGCTACTAGTGGTGAAAAGGTGAGCATTTGGCAATACGACGCGAAAAGCCGAACACCGGTGTCTGGAAGTTACAAGAGTTTTCGAAAGGAGCGTACGTTGTTTGCGCGGGGCTGGGTGAAGCAGGGTTAGGGAGTGTTGGAGTCGCGGGCTGGCAGTCGCGAGGCGTGGCCAGCTGGCTGGTGAGGAGGGAAATCGGAAACCGGTGCAGGATATCTTGCAAACGTCAAGAAACCATGGGAATCTTATCTTGATAGGGTCTGCCTTGCACGCTTCGAATCGGGGCTGAGCACTAGTCGTGATTGGCAGGTCGGGGAGGGGGGCAAGAAGGGAACCGATCTGAGGGACTGCGCATCGAACGTCTTCATGCAGTGACAATGCGAGAATAGGGTTCTGGGAAGATGGAGTCATGGCTATGGGCAG